GTCATGTGACACCTCCGTTACATCTGAAGATGAAGACAACTCGATGGGAATGAGGAGTGGATCGTTCGTTCCCACCTCTATTCCGAGCGGAATGGTGACCTTGCTCCTCCCTCGCTCCAACCACTCCTTGAACATGAGCCCCTCCATGAACTTGGCATCTCTGGTGGTGAAGATGGTGTTGGCTTTTGGGTCCCACATGAGCCACCCTTTGCTCCCTTGTGCAAGTCCCAAATGAACAGCCCACACCGCCGCCGCTTGAAGCTTGTCACGCTTCTCCTTAGGGACGTGCACGAGTCCCATGCACCCGAAGACTCGAAGCATATCCACCAGGGGCTTCTTGCCTCTCCACTTCTCCATAGGGACCCAATGCTGCCCTCCCACATGAGTCAATACTCGGTTCTTGATGACGGTGGCATGGCGAATAGCGAGGGGCCAGAATCGTAAGGGTAGACCCGAGTCTACCAACATCGTTCTCCCACCCTCCATGATGGTCCGTTCGCTCTCTCCGCCACGCCATTGGATTGAGGAGTGTAGGCCGTGGTGAGCTGCTGTTTGATGCCGTGCCGCTTCAGCCAGCTCCGGAACTCCGCTCCCAAGAACTCCCCACCACGGTCGCTACGAATCGCCTTCACCGCTTGCCGCTCTCGCTCCACCAAGGGCAGCCACTCTTCAATGATGATCCTTGCAGCATCACTTTTCTTTGCAAGTGGAAAGGACCAGGTGAGCCTTGTGTTATCATCCACCATGGTCATGGAATACAGGGCCCCACCATCTCCCTTCACCTTCATGGGTCCCACGAGATCCACATGCACGAGCTCCACTGGGTCACTCGACTTCCCTCCACCGAATGGAAGGGAAACCGTGAAAACTTGCTGGTCAAGCAAGTCTCACAAGATCCCACCTCCTTGGGCTCCCCCTTTATCATCAGCCCCTTGACTCTTTCCTCCTTGAACAGCTGCTGCAACTGAGGTAGCGCCACGTGGCCAAAGCGACGGTGTGCGGTGAGCCAATCCGTCTCACCCGTGCTAGGAGTTACACCTGGTAACTCAGCCCTTCCATGCCCAAGGAGCCCACCATCACTATCATCACCACCTCCTCCATTGTCCACGTGGTTAACACGCCCTCCTCTCACACCTCCAGCAGCCAAGCGCGCAGCCGCCTCCTTCCATGGCAGCACCGGTATCTCCACATGGACCGGTGCATGTCCTTGCCGCCTCGGAGGTCCCACAACACGCGCCCATCCAGAGTTGCCTTGAAAACCTTTGTGCCCAACATCTCCATCTTCATCCCTGCCTCACTTAGGGCCTTGGTAGAGAGGAGGTTGGCACACAATCCAGGAACAAGGAGAACACGCTTCAGCCCCACAAGCCTCCCATCCGCACCCATGAACATGGCTCTCCCTCGCCACGCACGGGTACAACTTGGCCGGTGGCTGAAACGACAGTGGCTGCCTTTGATGGCCTAACTTCATCCAGTAGATCCTCTCGGTTGGTCATGGTCATGAAGGCTCCCGTGTCGATGACCCAATGGGAGGAGCGGTGAAGAGCAACCTTGCTGGCCGGCACAACCATGTCCTCGGAGCACGCCTCTCCTACATGGTAGAACATGCCGCCGTATCCGCCAGCACCTCCATCGCCCTCCTCACTGCCCGCGCCTTCTCCCATAGCTCCATGAACACCTTGGAGCCCTCAATTGATGGCTGACCAGCCTCCAGCCGTCAGGTAGCTTGCGGCACTTGAACCATGGGTGCCCTTCCACATGGCAATACCAACACTTGCCGCCACACCGCTTGCCTCCCTTGTTGCCACGCTTCCCTCCCAAATGCTGCTCCCCTCCAGAGCCTTCCTTGGCCTTGCCTTTCTTGCTGCCACGCCCTTGAAGCCCTTCATGCCGTAGGCTGAACCTCCACCTTCACCGGCAGCGGCGGTCAGCTCCTTCCTCCGAAACTCCTCTTGAAGAACTTGCGCGCGAATCCACTCAAGGGACCACGAGTCCTTCATGCCATTAAGGTTGACCACCAAGGGGCCCACGACTCCGGCAGCAGGGAGAGAGCCTTGTAGCACTTGATTTTTTCAGGGTAGTCCACACCAGCAGCAGAGAGCTTCACATAGAGGTCCCTGAGTTGATCGAACGCTCCTTGTACGGCATCACCTTCGTTGATCTTCACCGCATGGAGTTGTCGCTCGAGCACCACCACCATAGCTTTGCTGCTGGGGGCATGGACATCCTTCAATATCTTCCATGCCTTAGGACCACACTCAACTTCCTTGATGAGATGCTTGATGTGGTGCAGCTGGTTGGATGAGAGGCATTGGGAGAGAAGAAGAATCCATCCTTGGACCGGCGATCCATTCTTTGGTCGCTCCTTCGCTCGCAGGCCTCTTCAATTCTCCATCCATCACTTCAAGCAGCCCATAATGGTTGAAGAGGAGCTCCATCCTGAAGCTCCATGATGCCCAATCCTCCCCAGAGAACTTCTCCAGGTTGAATGCCTTCACATCATCCTTAGCTGATGTTGAAACGGAAGCCATTGGTGCAGATCCGCCAGCAACGCCTCTTCCCGCTACCCCAGCGCCTCTCACGCCACCACTGCCACTGGGACCAGCTGGAGCAGAACCTTCAGCCTCCATATTCACCCAAGAACAGAGTAGAACAGCTCTGATACCACTTGTTATAGTCAAGAGTCCACTTAGAGGTCGCGATGCCCATGAAACCCCCTAAGCAGAATCTGACGTCTTCAAACCGCCTCTGTTCAAAACGCCGTCACGATCAGCTCCAAAACCATACGAAGCTGAAACTTGGACAGCGGTTAGCCTTAGGTGTCTGCTTTCTAACGGTATATAGCTTGCTATTATCAGAGGTGTGTGCACTACGCAGTGAACGAAAACGTAAGCTCGGCTGAAAAAAAACGTGTAGTCTCATTAAATGCAAGGAAGAGGTGAGTACAACATTGCCTAGGGGACTCATAAGGGGTTGGGTCATCCTGGGAACTCAGAGAATGTTGAGTCCTAGGGGAGAAAGGCTAGAGAAGGATGGGAAACGTCCTAGCTAGGTCAGCAAAGCCAACCACACATGGATGTTCAGAGCTGTACTCAAGGCAACCAATTGTGAGTTAAGCCAACCATGAGTCAGCTTGTCTTCCCACTTGCACCCTCTTGCAAGCTGGTTCCAGGAAGACCACACTTCTCAAAAGGAGGGCTGTAGAGTCCCACTTGACCACCTGTACTTCTTGTCTCATTCTCTGTCCCTGCACCATTGGCATGACAACAATGAAAGGGTGGCGAGGGAAATGCTGCCAACAGTGCACCATGACTACGGAACAGTGCATTTCGGCAGCTGTCACGCAATGCTCACATGTTGGATCGTTCTGAAACTTGGTGAACACCTGCACAGCGGGGAATAAAACTGCCAGACCGAATTTCCGACCAATCAGATCTTGGTAGACGAGTCAGCAGCCGAAATGGTGAACTCGGGTGTTACCAAAAAGGAGTAACACACACTTCCGGGATGCCATAAGTCTTGAAACATAAAATGTTGTCACGCCTTGGTAACTTCTTCAAAAACTCTGAAACTTTGAGGGTTTGAAGAACACATGTTGAACAACCTCCCCACAAATTCCAGAAGCTGAGCAGGCTTGTAGGCCGAATGGGAGTGCGATGACCGTGCCACTATAATGTGTTGGCACAACACCTAACTCTTCCATAGTGCATTCATTCCTGCCTAAACTTCTGACATGGTATTCAGAGCAGTAGGTCCGTAGGACCGTCTTTTTTTTCCGGGCCCACCTACCGCTACCCCACGACTGTGACTGTGACTGTGCCTAGGACGTGCTGCGCTCCGCGCACTGTCTGCCTGCTGCCTGCTGACTGCTGTCTGAGCTGTGCTGCTGCTGCTTCGCGCGTGCAGACCTGATTCTCGCGTGCTGCCCCCCCTTTTGCCCCACGCGTCGCCCTCCTTGCTTGTGTCGCGCCTTGGCAGCCGCGTCGCGCCCCGCGCGCCGCCCGTGCAGCCCGCGTCGAGCTCGCACAGCGCGCGCGGTCCGCAGCTGCCCCGCGCACCGCCTGCGCAGCTCGCGCCGAGCCCCCACAGCGCGCGCGCGGTCCGCAGCCGCCCCGCGTACCGTCGCCCCGCGCAGCCCGCGTCGCGCGCCGCCCTACCTGCTCGAGCTGCGCCTCTGCAGCCTGCGCGCGGCTTGCTGCTGCCCCGCGCGCTACCTGGGCTGCCTGCGCCTGCTTTGCGCGCCGCCCTTGCTGCTCGCGCCCTTTGCCCACTGCCTACTGCCTTTGCCTGCACTGCGATTATGGCGGCACTTAATGTTCTCGCGTTTGCGCCTGACGGTCGCCCGATAGAGTTTACCACGTGGCTAGACTATCTCCAACTGTTTCTTTTGACTGATGCCAAAGACGGCGTTTCACTGTTCGATTACGCGTCTGGCACTGCCGTTGTTAGTAGATCTGCACTGTGGATGCCCGATTGATCCTGGAGAGGGTTACAGGCGCGTTCGCCTGGGGGGTTATGGGCGCACTGACCCGCTACTGAAACAAGCCCTTTTATCCCTATGGTCTAGTGGTTGGGATTCTGACATGGTATCAGAGCGGTCTCGGGTTCGTTTCCCGGTGTATGCACATGTAGGCCGTTGCCGCTGTGCTTAGTCATGGGCCTCCCAGTTTGGGGGGGTGTCAGTAGATCTGCACTGTGGATGCCCGATTGATCCTGGAGAGGGTTACAGGCGCGTTCGCCTGGGGGGTTATGGGCGCACTGACCCGCTACTGAAACAACCCCTTTTATCCCAATGGTCTAGTGGTTGGGATTCTGACAGCCGTTGCTCCTCCTGACGATGCTACCACTCTCGAACGCTCACAGTGGTAGACTCGCGATGCTGCTGCACACCTAGCTATTCGAAATCATCTGCCGATCACTGAGCGCGCGCATTTCAGCCAGCACAAAACTGCTAAGGCACTGTATGACGCTGTAGTTGCGCGCTACCCCTAGGTCGGCTCATGCTACCTTACCTGTTCCCAGGCTTGTCCTCGTTTACCACTGCTGCGGACCTCATTTCTCACCTTCGCGCTAGTGACACTCGCTTTCGAGCTGCCCTTCCAGCCGAGTTCTGTGCCGAGAAACCCTCCTCCCCCCCCCCCCCAATGTACTTCACTCTCTATTTCCTCGTCACCCGCCTCCTTGACACTCTTAGCTCCATCAAGGGCCACTTCCTAGCCCTAGACCCTACCACTCTCACTGTCGCCGAATTCGAGAAGCACCTCCTAGCAGCAGAGAAGAACATCCTCGCTGTAGGTGCTGCTCGTGGTACTCCTCGCACTCCCCTCTTTGAGGGGTGCCCCCCCTCCCCTCTTACCCCTCCTACGCCTCCGGAGCTGTTGGTGTCGACCTCGTTGGTGCTGAGAAGGTCGCAGCTGCTTTCGCTCCTAGTGGGAAGCGCAGCGGCTCCAGGGGAGGCAGGGGTGGTAGGGGTGGCAGACGTGGCGGTGGAGGGGGCGGTGGTGGAGGCGGCGGGGGAGGTGGAGGTGGTGGGGGTGGTCGTGGGGGTGGAGGTGGTGGTGGGGGCGGTGGTGGTGCCGGGAGCAGTGGCGGTGGCGGCGGCGGTGGTGGCGGAGGGGGGAGTGGTGGTGGTGGCGGCGGTGGTGGGGGCTTGGGTGAGATTAGTGGTGGCCAGGGGCAGCAGTAGCAGCAACAGCAGCAGCGTCAGCGCCGGTCCCCCACTTCCCAGCAGCTTCATGACTGGTGTGCCGTGTGTGGGGCGTCTGGGGGTCCTGGTCGCTGCCCTATATCATTCACGCAGGTCCCCGCGCTGGTCGCCAGTGCACAGGCTTTCACACGGAGTACCGCTGCTTCGCTCGGCTTGGCGACGCCTGGCACGTCAAGTTTCCTGATGCTGAGTTCCCCAACTGGGCAGACCTGCTTAGGCGTGATGTACCTATCTTTGATCTTGACTATGATGCTATTCTTGCTGCCATGTATGCATTGACTGTTAGTGCTGAGGGTGACGGCTACTTGTGTGTGCCGCCTGACCCCGGTATAGCCCCAGGTATAGCGCCTGCAACTCTAGGTACTCGTGAGTCTGCTCCTCCTGGTACTGCGTCCCCACAGGCCTTGCACACCTTTACACTTGACTCTGGTGCTTCCCGCTGTTTCTTTCGCGACAGCACCACAGTCACTCCCCTCCCTAGACCTGTCCGTGTCTCACTGGCTGACCCCTCTGGGGGCCCAGTGCTTGCACGGTCTTCCACTGTGCTTCCATGTCCGACGGTCCCATCTGGTGAGCTGTCTGGTCTCCACCTCCCCTCGTTCTCTACGAACTTGGTGAGCAACGCCGTCCTTCAGGATCATTGGGTTGACACCTTTACTCCTGGAGGGCAGCCTGTGGCGATCTCCACGTGCTCTCGGACCGGCCGCCACCTGGCCACGTTCACCCATGAGCCTGGGTCCAGTCTGTACACCCTCACCACTGTGTCGCTCTCTACCCTTTGTCTCCTCAGCTATACGCGTCTGCTCAGGTAGCTACCCAGTGTGAGTGTCGTCGCCTGTCGCACCAGACTCTCCTTTGGCACCACCGCCTTGGTCACCCCTCCCTGCCTCGCCTTCGTGGCATGCACTCTCGCTACCTGGTCTCTGGTCTTCCCAGGTCTCTGCCTGCCCTCCCTCCCTCACCTGCGTCCCCCTGCATTCCTTGCGTCGAGGGACGGCAGCGCGCTGCTCCTCACTCCTCCTCGTTTCCTCCCACAGAGGCTCTGCTGCAGACTCTCCACCTGGACGTGTGGGGCCCAGCCCGTGTCCGTGGACAGGGCCACGAGCGGTACTTCCTGCTAGTAGACGACGACTACACGCGTTACAACACGGTCTTCCCCTTGCAGTTCAAGGGGGAGGTCCCTGATGTTTTGATCCCTTGGATCCGCGCTGTTCGTCTCCAGCTCCACGAGCAGCTCCACTCGGACTTTCCTGTCCCGCATCTACACTCCGACAGAGGTGGTGAGTTTACCTCCGACCTCTTGCGAGCCTACTGTGAGGAGCACGGCATCCGCCAGACGTTCACGCTTCCGGCCTCTTCGCAGCGAAATGGGGTTGCTGAGCGCCGCATTGGCTTAGTCATGGAGGTCGCTCGTACCTCCATGATCCATGTGGCTGCCCCCCATTTTCTGTGGCCGTTTGCGGACCAGTTTGCCGCGCATCAGCTTAACCTCTGGCCCCGTGTCTCCGTGCCGGAGACTTCGCCCACACCGCGCTGGACGGGGGAGGTTGGCGACGCGTCGCGTTTCCGAGTCTGGGGTGCCCGTGCCTTTGTCCGCGATACCACTGCGGACAAGCTCTCCCCTCGCGCCATTCCCTGCGTCTTCCTTGGTTTGTCCTTGACGCGCCTGGCTGGCAGTTTTACGACCCCGCCTCGTGCCGTGTCTTTCTGTCTCAGGACGTCACCTTTGACGAGTCAGTCCCCTTTTACCATCTCTTTCCCTACCGCACTGCCCCTTGCCCCCCCCGCCGCTCTTTCTCGCTCCAGGTCCTCCCCAGGTAGACCCACTCCCCGCGCCATGTCCTGCTCCTTCAGGCGTTTCTCAGGTAGACCCTCCCGTGCCTGCGCCTGTTGAGGTCACTGGTGACTCAAGTCCTGCTGGGGGTGGTCGTGCTCGGGGTGGTGCTGTCTCTGGGGGTACTGAGCCTGGGGGTGCGGAGCCTGGGGGTGCTGAGCCTAGGGGTGCAAAGCCTGGGTGTGAGGAGCCTGGGGGTGCTGAGCCTGGGGGTACGGAGCCTGGGGATGCTGAACCTGAGCGTGAGGAGCCTGGAGGTGCTGAGCCTGAGTGTGAGGAGGCTGGAGGTACTACACCTGGGGGTGCTGCGTCTGGGGGTGCTGAGCCTGAGCGTGAGGAGTCTGGGGGTGCTGTGTCTGGGGGTGCGGCGCCTGAGGGTACTGAGACTGCTGGTGCGCGGTCTCCTTGGAGAGGCCGCCTTCATCCGCGTGCGCCTCTCTCCCCTCAGCAACTGCACGAGTGGTACGCTCGCCGTCAGGGTCGCGCTGCTTGAGCTCGAGGCTCTGCAGCTGAGAGTGGTGCTGGGACTTTGTCTACAGGAGGTGCTGGAGTCGCTGGTTCCTGAGGTGCTCGTACTGGAGGTACTGGAGCTGCTGGGGCTGGCGGTGCTGAGTCTGGGGGTGCCGATGCGGGAGACCCTAGGGCTGGAGGTGCCGGTTCTGGGGGTACTGCTGCTAGTGACGCTGGTACGGGAGGTGATGGAGCTGGAGGTTCTGGGGCTGCTGGTGACGCTGGTACTAGAGGTGCTGGCGCTGGAGGTTCTGGGACTGCTGGTGACGCTGGTACTGGAGGTGCTGGCGCTGGAGGTTCTGGAGCTGCTGGTGGTGCTGGCGCTCGAGGAGTTGGAGCTGGAGGTTCTGGAGCTGCTGGAGGTGCTGGAGCTGCTGGTGGTGCTAGAGCTGCTGGTACTGGTGGCACTGCGCAGCCATGACTACTCTTTGCTCCGCTGTCTGCGTCGTCTGTGCCACCGCCTGACTCCATGCTTCGCCAGATTTTTAGCCTCGCGTCATCTACTGGTCTTCCGTTACAACCTGGCTCACCTCTACCTCCTCCTTCTCCTTACATTGAGCAGCGAGGAGGTCTTACTGAGCGTCGTGAGCCTGCGTCGCATCCTGTCTCACCTGTCCGCACCGGTCTTCATGTTCCTCGTTCGCGTCCGCGGCTGTCCCCGGCACATACCTCATGGCTCTGTGTCCGTCCTCTGCTCCGCAGCGTGTTCCTCTGCCGTCTCCTCCTGCGTCTTCTCTGCCTATCGTCGCTGACCCTGAGTCTGACCAGTTTCGTGTTGAGCACCTTACTGTCATGTGTCTACTAGCCACTGTTGTCACTGACCCGTCGTTTGAGTCTGCTGCTGCGTCTGCCTTTGTCACTCAGCTTGTTGACTTTGCTGCTGCCTGTCGTCTAGACTACGCCGCTAGTCTTGTTGCTGAGTCTGAGTCTGTCTATCCTCCATCCGTCGGGGGTGAGTGTGCTTTTGGCACGGACGTCCTTGAGGACACGCAAGAGGACCTTGAGTGTCTTGCAACCGCTGCGCCTCATCTCGTGGCCATGCTGCTTGCCCCTAGGGGAGACTCGGATGCTTCAGACATCCCGACCCCGCGCTCTTACGCTGAGGCGATCGCGGGTGAGTACTTCTCTCAGTGACAGTCAGCCATGGACGCAGAGATGGCATCCTGGAAGTCCACAGGCACTTACGTTGATGAGGTTCCCCTCGTGGGGCGAACATCGTTGATGCCATGTGGATTTTCAGGGTGAAGCGGTCGCCAGGTTCTCCGCCTGTCTTCAAGGCTCGTTATGTTGCTCGAGGTTTCAGTCAGCGAGAGGGAGTTGACTTCTTCCAGACCTTCTCCTCGACCCCGAAGATGACCACTCTTTGGGTGCTACTGCACGTTGTCGCTCAGCGTGACTACGAGCTTCAGTCTCTTGACTTCAGCATAGCTTTCTTACAGGGCAGCCTCCACGAGGAGAGATTTGGCTGCGCCGCCCGCCTGGCTTCACTGGGTCGTTCCCTCCTGGTACCCAGTGGAGCCTCCGGCGGCCGATCTACGGTCTTTGCCAGGCGCCACGTGAGTGGCACAACACACTGAGGACGACACTTGTGGATCTTGGGTTTGCTCCGTCGTCTGCTGACCCTCGCTTTTTCTGCGCACCGACACTTCGCTGCCGCCATTCTACATCCTCGTGTACGTCGACCACGTCTTTGCCACTGCTGACACCGAGGCTCTCACCCTGGTGAAGTCGAAGCTGCAGAAGAGACACACGTACATGGACCTGGGTGAGCTGCGTAGTTACCTTGGCTTGCAGATCACCCGGGACAGAGCACGCCGCACCATCACACTAACTCAGTCACACATGGTGCATCAGGTCCTTCAGCGCTTCGGCTTCACCTGGTCCTTGGCACAGGCCACTCCTCTGGCTACAGGTCACTCGCTCTCAGCTCCACCTTCGGACGAGTCCGTAGAGCCGAGTGGTCCTTACCCAGAGCTAGTGGGCCGCGTCATGTACCTGATGACCTGCACTCGTCTTGACCTTGCGTACCCTCTTGGCCTTCTGGCTCGCTACGTGGCTCTTGGTCGGCACCGAAAGGTGCACATGGATGCTGCTAAGAGGGTACTACGCTACTTGTGCAGTACTTTGACCATGGGGCTCGTGCTTAGAGGACAAAGCGACGTTGTCTTGACTGGGCACTCAGACGCTTCTTGGGCTGACGACCAGGCTACGCAGCGGTCGTCACATGGTTACAGCTTCAGCGTTGGCTCTAGTTCAGTTTCTTGGCGTTCTACACGCTCGCCTTCAGTTCTCAGCTCCAGATGTGAGGCTGAGATCTACGCCATAGCCATGGCTGCACAGGAGTTACGCTGGCTCACCTACCTGCTGACCGACTTGGGAGAGCGGCCTCGTTCTCCTCCAGTGCTGTACGTCAACAACAAGGCCACAATTGCCTTGTGTCAGGACCACAGACTAGAGCACAGACAGAAGCACATCGCTCTGCGCTACTTCCTGGCTCGAGAGTTGCAGCAGCGTGGTCAGCTTCCTCTTGCTCATGTGGCCACTTGGGCCAACACTGCTGATATATTCACCAAGGCACTTCCGTCTGGTGATTATCAGCATTTCTGCACTTTGTTAGGCCTTGTGCCCACGTTTC